CTGTTTTATGTTTTGCAAACTGCTATGTAACACTTATGATGCTCTATAAATAATAAATAATAAAAGTCCTGTAGTCTCCTGCCAGCAGCCTTTGATGGGGGGCAGCTTTCAACTGACTTCACATGAGTAGACATTAAAAAAGGAAAGAAGTCACTCTCTCTGTGGTTGGCTGTTTATCTGCAGTAATAACAAAGCTGGTGACAGGAACATCAGAGAATGTGTCATCCATTCATCATCCATCCATCCTTCAATCTGTTTGTTTGTCTGTCTATCTCCCTGTCTGTCTATCTATCTATCCATCTATCATCAATACGTGTTTGTAGAAGAGAAACTATGATTTAGAAGAGGAGTTCTAAAGGAAGCAGAAGGGTGAAATAAAACAAGCTCATAGAATATAGGCAGCATAACTGCAGGAAAAGTACAATTGCTGGATGAGAACCAGCAAAAGTAGGGACACCAGTGAAAAGGGTAAAAGGGCAAAAAAAACAAAGAACAAAGTATAATTGTGTGTGTGTGTGTGTGTGTGTGTGTGTGTGTGTGTGTGTGTACATAAGTCAATGTTAAATTGGGACACATTTCCATGTATGGATATGATGGAGGTGGCTCTTGTATTTTATCTGTTGCTTTCATTGGTTAACTAATAAAGAAATCTGCTTGGCCTGAAAGGACAGAAAATTAGGTAGGCGGAGTAGACAGAACAGAATGCTGGGAGAAAAAAGCCAAGTCAGGGAGTCACCATGATTGACACAGCCGCAGGTTAAGATCTTCCCTTGTAAGCCACCTCGTGGGCTACACAGATTATTAGAAATGGGTTAGATCAATATGTAAGACCTAGCCAATAAGAGGCTGGAACTAATGGGTCAGGCAGTGTTTAAGTGAATACAGTTTCCGTGTAATTATTCCGGGTAAAGCTAATCATGCAGGCAGCTGGGCACTGGAAATGTAGCCCGTCGCTCTTACTTCAATAGAGTGGCACCCAACTTTTTTGTTTAAACAGAAAAAGGGGAAATGATGGAGGTGGGTCTTGTATTTTATCTGTTGCTTTCATTGGTTAACTAATAAAGAAAACTGCTTGGCCTGATAGGATAAATTAGGTAGGCAGAGTAGACAGAACAGAATGCTGGGAGAAAAAAGTCGAGTCAGGCAGTCGCCATGATTGACACAGCCGCAGGTTAAGATCTTCCCTGGTAAGCCACCTCGTGGGCTACACAGATTATTAGAAATGGGTTAGATCAATATGTAAGACCTAGCCAATAAGAGGCTGAAACTAATGGGCCAGGCAGTGTTTAAATGAATACAGTTTCTGTGTAATTATTCCCAGGTAAAGCTAACCATGTGGGCAGCTGGACGTTGGGAATGTAGCCTGCCGCTCCTACTTCAACATGGATAAACAAAAAATTAATTTTAAAAATCATTAGAAAAGAAAAATGAAAGTGTTTTTCCATCCCAGCCCATACTTAAGCTCCATGTGTCTTGGCAAACTCTAGAGAACAGAGCTCTGCTCATTCAGGATTGCTGCTGTACAATTGCCCTCAAGTGGGTTTGAGTGGAAAGAGTCATTGCCTCTTAGTCTTGCCTCCTAATCAAAATCCCTCCTATGTGTGGTTGTCCATGACTCTGACTGCTAAAGGCAAAAGGAGAACTGGGAAAGTGACTAATATTTAGCTTTTCCACAGTGGGGGTTGATCTTAACTCTGTGAGATGATGATGGGTCAGCCAACTCAGTCACTGTAATAATGCTACATCGTACATATGTGTCAGAATATCACTAGCGCATAAAACTACTCCATTTCCCCACCAACTTAAAAGGGACCCAGTTCACTGCCATACATAATCATGGAAGGATCTGGTGGGAAAGAGGGACTAGAGCTGAAAAGAAGATAGGAGAGGAAAACTGAGGATTGTAAAGTTAGAGGAGAGACAAGGCAGACAGAGCAGGGAACAAAAGACTATTGCTTATAAAGGAAAGAGAAATAAACTTGAGCAAGGCACTGGGTTAGGATTAAGTTTAAGGACAGTGAGCTCCTGTAAGTTCAGGAGTGTGTACTCCTAGCCATCAAGTGACCTTTCTGAGTACTGTGCACAGAATTAGACAGAATGAAAATCATGAAGTAGTTACCCAGCATCAACGATTACCAAGTTAGGGCCCAATCAGTGTTCAGCTCTTCAGTCCCCACCCACCTGCTGTTTTATTTCCACCCAAGTTCCAAACATCATCCCATTTCAAAAAATTCAGCATCAACTTCTAAGCCTTATGGTATGTTAAAATGTATAAGCACAATATCATCATCACATATAAAATGCAGCATTAATTGCAATAGCACTGAAGCATATGTTTTCAAATAACAATCAGCCCATAAATACTGAATTGTTTACTTTAGCTCCTCAGTTTAATTTTCTCTTCAAATAATCTCTACAGATTATTTGTTGTGTCTTATTATTACTTATGTCTTTTCAGCTTCAGTCTCTTTTAGCCTATTCTCTTAGCTCCCCACATTCCCGCTTATGATTGAAGAAACGATTCATTTGCTTTTAATAATTTTCTGAAGTTTGTATTTTTCTGATTGGGTTGCTGCCCTGCTCTTCAATGTGCTGTTTTATAATACTTTGTGCAAATGTGAGTAAGTTGGGGTTTGATTTGGGATGTCAGGAATGGGTCAAGTCTGTAGGCCATGTTTTGCAGCACCACTGGGCACATGCTGTTTGATTGCCTTTATTGGGCTGTAGACAGCTATTGATGATCGATGTCTGTCTAGAGCTATTAATTCAATAGAGATTGCAAAGGGTACTAATTCCTTTTTATGTACTTATTTCCTTTTGATTTGCTCAGAGCTTCTACAAAGAGAAACTGTTTCCGTAACTTTTCAAGATGAATTAGTTCTAGTGGAAATGGGAAGATAAATATTTTAGTCTTTCCTTAATTTGTTGTTTCGAATAATGATTTCATGTATTAATATTCTGCATAATAGATGATGAGGATGTAGTTTCCTGCTATCATTGGAAACTTGTGCATTTGACATTAATTGATATGTGCCATTGACTTCTGTTATCATTATGACACTCAAATTTCCCATCTTTGAGCGTTCAAAATCTATTCAAGTGTCCTTCTGAGTTTGTCTCCATGACTTTAAGTTCCAAACCTGAAATAAGTCAGTTTTTTTCTACGAGCTCCAATTTCTGGTAGTAGGAAAATGGAGTTTTAAAATCACAGAATGGTAGGAATGCAATTGCTATCGGATGGTTACAGTTTCCAGACATTTTAAATAAACAGGGCTGCAAAACAATGTGTATGTGCTTGTGTGTGTGTGTGTGTGTGTGTGTGTGTGTGTGTGTGTGTGTAAACAGGTACATGTTCATGGCAGATGTGCACATTTATGTACAGATGTACATGAATGTCTATTCACATATGGTTGGAGGACAGATGTCAGCCAGTTTATGTGCTGCTGGGAAACAAATCCAGAGTTTTATACATATAAGCACTCTATAATCCGAGCTACTTCCTTAAGACTCACAATTCCTTAAAATATTTCCATTATTTTTTCAGGTTTTTATTCTTTCATCCCAGTTTGGTATACTGTCAGATAGTAACAACTGAGCAGACATTTCTTTACATTTGGAGTGAATTATTTTATTATGGTACTGAAAATTGAACCTTGGGCCTCAATGCATTCTAGGTAGCTCAATACACCCTCAATGCTTTACACTGAGCCAAATCCCCGGTCCTAGTACATACTTTTATTTCCTAGTAATGCATAATATAATTCTGAGGTTGAATCTATTTTTTTAAAATATCCAAGGATTCCCTCCATTCCTTCCACTCTTCCCTTTTCCCGTAAACATAACTTTCTTTTTTACTGTTTATGAAACTCATTCCCTCCCTTTTATCAGATTGCATGTTCTATATACTTATTTTTCTGTGTCTCCAAAATATGTATTTGGAGAACACTGTAAAACACTGTATGGGTTTCTCTTGTTCTTTTCTAGATGCTGAACGTACTATTAGGTGCAAACACCAGGTATTCATTTTTGACCACTTCTACCTCTTCCTAGATGATTGTACCACTACAGCAAAGTGTCCCACTGTGACTAGATTTGGTTGTATATCCTTTTATGGTTTTTTTTTCTGGGAATAAAATTCTAGAAGGTTAATATCTGGATACAGTCATCCACTGAATGGATATATCATCCACTCAGGCTGTAATAGTAAAATAGCATACACAGTTGGCTTATACATAACAGATGTTTGGAGAAGAGGAAGCCATAGATTAAGGTATCAGCATATTTGGTACCTAGTGAAGGTCCACTTTGGAGCTCATGACATTATTGTGCAGGGTTTTACATGGCAAAAGAAGTTGTCAAGACACCTTAAGCCTCTTTTTCAAGGGCACTAATTCATTCAGAGGCTTTCCCCTCTGACCTAATGATCATATCCCCCATATGGGGCCCTTGTTATTGGAACCTTGAAGGTCAGAATTTCAACCCAAGAGTTTTTTATTTTTTGGGTACACAAGCGTAAGTACTTTAGTGCTGAACTAAAGGTCAGGACATTAATTATCATACTTCGCACTGGCAAATCTCCTCCATAGATCCTACATCATCTTTCATTCCCATTACAATGAATGAGAGCCCCTGTCCACCCACCTCTCAAAGAGTATTCTGTGTGACTTAAAAATGTGTGACCAAATCTAGAGCAAGAATTAGTATGGTTGTCCTTTTTAAATAGGCAGACACCCTATGACAGATCAACTGGGTCAACATTTATTTGCCTATTAAAAATCTGTGTTTCTTTCTCTTTTAATTTTATTTGCCTCTCTAAGTATTTTTTAATAGAACTTTCTTGGGGTGGTTTTCTTTATTCTGAGTTTTTATAAACTTCCTAGCGATTTTTTTTTTATCTCAGACACTTCCCCATTTGTTGTTTGTCCTTTTCTTTGTTTATAAGTGTATCTTTTAAGGTGCTAAAATTTTAACATAATAATATTTCTTTCTGAAAACCGCGCGCGGGCTGCAGGCTGCGCGGCGGGCGCGGCGGGCACGGCTGGGGCGGCGGAGAGCGCGCCGAGCCGGGGCCGAGCTGGCCCGCCCGCCCGCCGCACATGTCCCGGGGCGTCGTGGGACTGTAGCCGTCTGTGGCGCCTCCTGTCGGCGGGGCGCGGGAGCGCGGAGCCCATGGAGCGGGTGCGAATGATCAACGTGCAGCGCCTGCTGGAGGCCGCCGAGTTTTTGGAGCGCAGGGAGCGAGAGTGTGAACATGGCTACGCCTCATCGTTCCCCTCCATGCCGAGCCCCCGGCTACAGCATTCAAAGCCCCCACGGAGGTTGAGCCGGGCACAGAAACACAGCAATGGGAGCAGCACTACCAGCACTGCCAACAGACGAGCTCACCTGCGCCTGTGTTTAGAACGCTTGAAAGTTCTGATCCCACTGGGTCCAGACTGCACCAGGCATACAACCCTCGGTTTGCTCAACAAAGCCAAAGCACACATCAAGAAACTTGAAGAAGCTGAAAGGAAGAGCCAGCACCAGCTTGAGAACTTGGAACGAGAACAGAGATTTCTAAAGCGGCGACTGGAACAGCTGCAGGGTCCTCAAGAGACGGAGCGGATACGAATGGATAGCATTGGGTCGACTATCTCTTCCGACCGCTCGGACTCAGAGCGAGAGGAGATTGAAGTGGACGTTGAAAGCACAGAGTTCTCCCATGGAGAAGTGGACAATATAAGCACCACCAGCATCAGTGACATTGATGACCACAGCAGCCTGCAGAGTATTGGGAGTGATGAGGGTTACTCCAGTGCCAGTGTCAAACTCTCCTTCACGTCCTAGAGCCCAGCACGACAGCAGTGCAGGGCGACACACCCATCGGGCCAGTTCAGTACCGTCTCTTCAATTGGGTTCATGACGCAGTCTCCTTCAAAACTAAACAAAACCATACTTGAACAAAAGGGTCAGAAGACCTGTATTTAAGCAAATACTTAACAAAAAGTGGGGTAGAGCCTCCCCAGTAGAACAAATACTCATATATTGGAAAGAATACGGTTCCTAACAGCAGCTGGAAACGTGTAATTATCTGGAGTTGACTTAGTTGACTTCTAAGAGGACAGTGGAGATTCCGTCTCCTTTCCTAGTTTGCTCACGCTGTGTTGAGTAGACGTTTAAGGGTGGGGTTATGAACCCTTCCTGAGCTTCTTGGCCCTAGAAACAAAATCAGACTTAGAGTAAGGAAAAGACAGGATAATCAGGCATTAATCTTGGATAGCTAAAGAGCTCTTAAAACTCAGCCTCAGTTTATCATGAAGCCTGTGGATGATCAATTCTTTAAAAAAAAAATGAATTTTTAAAAAGCTCATTTCGTGCTCTACAGAAGGAGAGACTCCCATGAAGCCTTTCGAAAGAGATCATCACGCAGCTCAGCTTTCTGTTGGATTCCATGCTAAGCCAGCTAACCTTACCTGCATTGTTAGCACTAGGGCACCCAACCGCCCGCTCGCACCCTTCAGCAACATAGGGGCAGCCCATGCATGACAGCTGTGTCACAGAAGGAAAAGCTCCATGTGCCTCTGTGTCTGCGCCGATCTGAAGAGTTGTGCACGCAGCATAGCAGGCCAAGGTCTGAGCCACGGCAGCATTTTTATTTGAGATTTTGATAACTGTTTATATGTGTTGAAAACCAAAATGGCATCTTTTTAAAGCTTGTCCATAAGTAAACATAGATGTCTTTTATAGTGGAAAAAACAACAAAAAAAAAAAAAAAAAAAAAAAAAAAAAAAAATAATATTTCTTTCTGTTTTGTAGTATTTCATCTATATTTAAATTTTTAGCTGGGAATATTTTCCTTATTTCTGGATTATAAAAGGTTTACTCATGTTTCTTATAATAATTTTTATGCTTTTTTTCCAATCTGAATCTTTGGATCCTTTTGGAATTTTTACTTGTTAATGATGTGAGAAATGCCTTAAATTTATTATATATATATATATATATATATCTCCAGTTATTGCAATGATTTAATTTAATATTCTTTATTTCTATCTTAAATTTGATGGTTTTTTTCTTTTTCATTGTTAGAAGACTTTATATTTGTATTCCAATGGTTATTTTTATACTAGCATTTTGCTTGCCACCTTTATCCATCTTTCTTTTGTATTTTAAGGGGAAGGATTAGGTTTAATGCAATAACTTCCCTATAATCAATATTAAAATTAGATACACCTCTCCTTTTTCGTTCTTTTCATTCCCAATTTTTGGTGTTAACCTCCTTTTATTCTCAGTTAATAATTACCAAGCATTCTGAAGCCTTACTTTCTCATGCACTCTACCCAGCCGTCTATGTGTATATTTTGATGGCTGTTCTCTACACTGTCTGTTGTCCATAGAACAAGGGAGGAATGTACTCTCTGGATCCCAAAAGCAACTTCAACCCAAAGATGAGAGTCACACAAACCATCAAGTTCCTGTCCCCATGCTCAGTACAAGCAAAGCTCTTTAAAGGATACAGCTCATAGGGAAATGTGCTCTTGACCTGCCTTCTGTGGAGGAGCTAGGAGAAGGAATCAAAGATACAGTACACAAAAAGGAAAGAGTGAAAACCTAGTAAGTATGAGTCATCCACCATTTCTATCAACGAGGCTGCCTACTTGATGTGGGAAGTCCTTCTGTATATGTGTTGCTTTTATTGGTTGATGAATAAAGCTGGTTTGGGCCAATGGATTAGGAGAGCAAAGCCAGACTGGAAATCAGAACAGAGAGAAGAGAGAGTAAGCAGAGTCATGGAGATGCCATGGAGCTGCTGAAGGAGAAAGATGCCAGCTAGAACCTTACCCAACAAGCCACAGCCTTGCGGCGATATACAGATTAAAAGAAATGGGTTAATTCAAGATGTAAGAGCTAGCTAGAAATCTGCCTGAGTCATTGGCTGAACAGTGTTGTAATTAATGTAGTTTCTGTATGATTATTCGGGTCTGAGCGGTTGGGAAATGAACGAGCTGTCTCCACCTACAGCCTACTAGCTAATTTATGTGTCCCAAGACAGGTCTTTCTATGAAGAACACTATAAGCCAGAGTTTATTCAGATAATAAAGTTCATGGTCTGAGCAAACAGCAAATTACACATCACTCTTTGTGTTTGATACACCTAAGAAGAATGAAATATTCAGAACTTTCTTTATACCAGCTTTTAATCAGTCTCATTTTCTGTAGAGTTTCCATGTGACAGTGTCTAACTAATAAAAGTCCACCAGCTTTGTTCTCTTTGTTGTGTGAGTTCTAGAAAATCCAATCTATCCTGGTTTGAACTCCTCCTGCTTGCTCCCGGGCTAATGTTGCTCTGAGTTAGTCATTCTCCATGGGTTACAAATCAGAAATAGTCAGTCCTCTACATCAGAGGCATTTGTTCCAATGAGGAAAATGCTGTAGGATTCCACTTGCAGGCAGCCATGGAAGTGGAGTGTGAGGCTGTTGATAAGTAGAGACACGAAGATGGATGATCAGTTTTCATTTACTGTGCGGATCCAGTTAATAGATCCCAAAGGACAACTCCGTCCCAACAGGATTTTGCCCTTGGTAGCAGCACAGTCCATTCGCTTGGTGATCTCTTCATGGTTTTCTGACAGCTAATACTTATACAGCAAAAAGAACCCTTGAAAAATGTAACTGACTTGCTTTATGAAAAATATTTCCAGTGTTTTAGTGGCTAGTCAGTGGACAGAGTTCCATTACCAGGAATTTTGCATTTTGAGTTATGATATGTAGAATATTACATATTAGGTATCTCTTCAGGGGGTGACCAGCCTCCTGACGAAAGGAAGATTGTATCTATATTCAGAGCACCTAGTATCCTAGACATTCACTAATACTTGAATTGAACATAGAATCAATGAATAAATTAAAAGATACAGGGGAAATCCATACAGACGATCTAGTAGTGTGGGATGAGATGATTCCTTATTGGACAAATATTTATTTCAGGATGACTTCCATCTTAATTTACTTTCATTTAAGGGGTCCCAGTTATAATTATCCAAAATATATAACTAAGAAGTTCAGGTTTGTGTGTGAAATATTTTTCTCATGCATGTATCTGATTTATTTAATCTGTCACAGTTACGTTTTCAGTCAACAATTTGTGTATTCTTCTCAAATAGCTTAGAAGGAGTGAGAGCCTTGCCTAAGTCCTGATTGACTGTGGGATGATGGTTGAAATGGTCACTTGAGTTTATAGAAGACAGGAACTAGTTGACCCCCTAGCAATACCTGAGGCTCTGCAAACAATGTTCTATGTCGTCTTCAACCCCAAGAAGAGGGTACTAGAAATCCTGTACTGTAGATAATAAAATGAGCAGATGAAGAACATCGCTGTGCAACTAGAAGTTACTAGACCTGGAATTTGACTCGGTGATTACTACCAAACCAAAAAGAGTTAGAAAGTCAGTCCTGCTTGTAGACATCGTGGTGTGTCTTGTTTTCTGGCCCTTTTGTTGTGTTCTACTTATTCTTATTCCTTCTCGGCACATTTACCCCTTTATGGTCTTTAAATCATTTTTAATTTGTCAAGGAAAGTGATTCAATAAAGATCTGTAGAATTGGAATAAATATAGGAAACTAAACAACTGACTTTTCTTTCTCAATAAAAGGAAAATAATAATTGAATTGTTTTAAGTATCCTAACCTTAGAAGGTCTAAAGCTTGCAGGAAGACTATTTTTATTGCATCTTTTTGTCTCACCCATCAATTTCTTGATCTGGAATCCAGTCACACTGCTGTCTATTATTCATAGCTGTCTGAGGATCCAGATATAAAAGAACGTGACTTGACCGTTGCACAGCCAAATTCAGAAATTCTGTAATTTCACATGGTGAGGCTGTGAAATACAACATCCCCCAAGACAAAGGGATTCAAAGACTGCCCCAAATTACACTTAATTCAAGGTTAAAAAGAAACAAGTGTACAATGAGGGACTGGAAGAGATGGCTTGGTGGTTAAGAGCACTGGTTGCTCTTCTATAGGACCCAGATTCAACTACCAGCACCCACATGGCAGTTCACAACTGTCTGTAACTCCAGTTCCAGGGGATCCAGCATCCTCACACAGTTATACAGGCAGGCAAAAGACTAATGCACATATAAATAAGATTAAAATTAAAAAGGAAATGAGTGGAAAAGCATAACGCTAACTGGTTTTGTAAACTTGAAAACCAAATCACCTCATGTCTCCAAGATGTGTGAGCAGAAGGCCAGTGAACGGCTAACTCTAGATGAATCATGAAAGTTGGGCTCTTCCTGTGGGTCTTGACTGATTAGCCCTGGAGACTTTGTAAAGGAATTTCAAACTGATACCTTGGTGAATAGTTTTAGAACATCCACAACCATTAAGATGAGACTGTAACACAGTAGGGCAGATGCTTAATCCAACCTGGTTGGTTCCCTTATGAGAGAAAGAGAGACAGAAACACACAGATCTAGAAGAACACCACAGACACATACTCTCCAATATGTTTTATCAAATATTAACTGTCCTCAGAAAAGGACAAAGGGCTGAGATGACAAATGACAGCTTAGCCAGGATTAGGACTGACGCAAATGAGCCAGGTGTCTTGGGTACACCAAAAACTCAGTGATGAAAATAAGCATTTTAATGCAATTTTAAAAAAGGATTTATGCAAAAAAGTGCATGACAATGCTGCATGATGATCAGGACAGGTGGGATTTATGCAGCTTCAAGCCTAGGGATGCCAATACCAGACTGGAAGAGAAAAGATAGCCCAGAGCATATCTTGATTCTGACATCCAGCTTGCAGGATTGCAAGAGAATAAAATTCTACCATTTTAAGCTACGTGGGCTTTGGCGCTTTGTTTCAGCAACTGGAAGAACTAATACCATCACTTATGCTCTTACAAGCTTTCCTGTGAACGGTCCACCAACTAAAATCCAATCATATTTGAATTTTATTAACTCCAGTACATTCTGCAGAAATTTATAATGATACAGTTTGTTTTGTTAATTAAGAATAATCTAACGTTCCTAGCTCATTTCTTTGCCGATTAGCCCCTCTTCCCCTTCCAACTAAATTATCTCAGGGAAGCCTGCGAATCCATGTAGTTTTAAACACTGATGCCCCCGACTCTCATCTGGACATGGCTGTATCATTTTTATCATTTCCCTTGTTATATACAATGAACCTTTCCTCAAACCTGTCAGATGTATTTGGCCTGAGTCAAAAGAATTTTTGTAATTTTTAATATTCTTTTCATAACCTATCATATCCTCATGTTGAATTGACAAAGGTCAGTGAATTATTTTTTCTTGTAAGTTCTTAAATAGTTAAGTTTTCATTGTGAATCTGTTTTGATGTTGATGGCTTTATAGGAATTTTTTAAAGGTCTCTTGATTAATTTTAAAAGTATCAGGCTTTCAATGGAATACATTGTAGCCTATTAACCACACAATTAAACCATCTTTTCTGAAAATTTCTAGGAAAGAAGTCATATTCAAAAGTTAGTTGGTATCATGTACGTAGGTGCCTCCTTCCTTCAAATCTGTATAAATTGGGCTGCAGAGTTTGGGATGAGGCACATTTATGACATATTGATAGAAGGATGTGGGTTGAAGGTATAATTAGCCAACTTTATCAGTTCTGCCTCCAAGTTCACCTGTCACTGATCAAGGAAGAGGCTCAGGCAGTGATGACGTCAGGTCCCCTGAGCCCAGCACAGCTCATGGACCAGAGGTCAGA